CCTAAAAATAGTACAGAAAGAATCTTCTCTTCTGGTTTTAACAAAGTTCACACTTCCTTGCTAACAGTCACAATCTCTATGTTACTTTGCAAATCAGAGTCAAAAGCAATTTTAGAATGTTCAAGTGCTTTGATAAGAACTTTGTATCGGCCTCTTCAAATAGACTATAAATTTGCAGATCCAACTTGATAAGCCAATGCCATAATGGTTCTGAAACTCCCTAATTCAAATGCACCAAATGTCGCGAAACACCAAAAATTAGTTACAAGACTATGAGCAACTTAGAAAATGGTTATTCAAGCAGAATTTCTGCATTCTGAAGGTCTTGCACAGTATGCTGTGCACCATCCAAGTCAAGTACTATTTCTCAAAGCGTTTCATACATATTTCGACTTAAAGTACCTATTTTGATCAAGTATTGTATTATAACAACGAACCTTCTTAACAACGGCTGTAAAGCAAGAGGAGCCGAACCAGAATTTTCTAGCAAACGCTCAGCTTCCATCAGTTGTGATTTCAGCTAGAAGTATTAGTCAGTAAATCAAATCATATTCATAGTATAATATTGGGAAATAAATGAGAGTTAATTTTTAAAAAGAACGATTTAAGCTGTTACGCAATTAGCAAAATAACCGTTTCAACTTGTTCGTTTTCTGCTGCACCTCGACTTGATTGTCGTTTTTTTTGTTCCTCTTCAAATCTTAACATTAAAATTTATTTAAATGAGCAGCATGGTCTAGAGTAAAAAACCAAAAAAAAAAAAAAATACATTAATCACAATGAAAATTACTTCGTCCTGCATTTAATAAGAAACATCTTTGTACGTCCATGCAACCAGCTCAGAATGAATGTACTTGATCACTAAAATCAATTACGGGCAAAATGCTATTCTTGATGTTCATTTTAAAAATACTGCAGAGAAAAAAGCTGACTTCTGCTGGATATCTTCAAAATTGCTTTGCATTGATTTCAACTGCAATAATTTCGCCGCCAGTTGCTCCATTTGCATGTGCGATCGTGTTCGTTGCATTTTGAGAACAAAAAGCACCGTAACTAATACAATCACTAAGATTGATAAAGCAATATCTTTAAGCCGAGATGTATTACCGTCTGAAGAAAAAAATTTTTTAAAAAGTATTACAAACATACAAAATAATTGACTATTTTTCTAAATAGCAATTTGAACCAATCAGCTGCATCAATTCTAAACAAATATCAAAAAAACTGACCACTAAAACCAAAAAGGACGACATCTAATGCTTTCAAACGCAACTTCTGCTTGTGCACCGAATTTTTGATGCCCAAATCGGTCAATAAATAGGTCGAATTAGCAACAGCCATTCTGAAAATTATAATATTCAGAGTGGGATTTCACTGCAGTTATCCATAAGAACTTGGTTACTATTTCAACCCACGGATTATTTTGCTTAAAGAGAAGCATATTTCTGATTTAATTTAGAATATAACAAAAGTTTAATACATAAAGGCCATCAAACTTCTTAATTTTGTTGTAAAAAAAAGATAAAAATAGACAAAATAGTGCTTTGAGAAAAGTGTCAAAAAAAAAAAAAAATTAATCAATACTCACAATAAGCCGACCTGGGTAAAGCTCGACCATCAATTTCCATCCCAATGAAAACAGATGCGTATTGTGGAAGGCGAACTGTATATTCCAACCAATTCACCATATCAGTTGTTGTCCAAGAGCGTTCCTCACATGCAAACCACGCTTCCCATAAGTCGTCCACTGTTATCAACTCGTCATGGTTATGATGAAAAGCACGTTCTCGCTTGGCCCGATCCAAACCTCCCAACTGCATATCTTCTTTTAAAAACTGAAAATTTATAGAATTATATAATAATTGATATAGGAATGGAGCGAAATAAACGATTAGTTGTTGACTACGGACATAAGTTTGAGTTTTGTTGAAGTTTTTATCTTAAAAAACATCCTTCTCTTCCTCTCCAAAAACAAAAATTTGTTGAAGCATTATTACATCTGTTGACTCGAACCGATCGATGGAACCGGACTGGTCGTCATCCATTTGATGATGCAATTGTGTTATAGCTTCATATCCTTCTGGATCACGCAATTTTTCATCATTTGCTGTTATTAGCACATCTAAAAACGAAAAACTGATGAAACTGTAGTCAGATAGGTTACAAAGTAATTGATTCGCATGAAAAGACAGCATAAATTATTTTCAACTTATGCAGATAAAACCAACTCATTTACAGATAAATAAGTCGAACAGAGATGCTATCATATCAGTGAAAGCTCTGTTCAAAAAACATGCTATTTCGAACAAAAACTAGCTCTTTCTTTACAAAAAAAAGCATGACTGCCACATGAATTAACCGCAACCAATTGGTGCACATGTAGTTAATTAAAGAATTCAATACAACTTTAACTGTACAAGAGAAACTTAATTTTCATCACTTTCTGACATTGACATAGTGCTAAGAAGTTAACCAAAATGCCCAGCAGCATTTCCAATCTTAGTGACTGCGCAGCTACCAACATGTCCTTTTGAAAATCTCCCGGAATCTAAAAGTAAGTAATTTATAAAGAAAAAAAAAGACGAGATTCTGAGCGCTACGACAACCGGACCGATTAGGATAAAGACATAGGGAAAATGAAATTAGTCAGCTTAAGCAAAACATAAATTAATAAGCACACTTTAATCTAGCACTTACCAGGTTATTGGTCCATGGCTCTGGGTAGTTTACATAAAGGAACTTCTGGTGCTCCTAAAAAGATATTTTGATAAACCAATCCAAAATGAATATAAAGATTCGTGAAATTGCTATCTGATTATTCAATTATAGACGCTTACCCACCTGACCGAATTGCTGTCAATATTCACTCCTTCAATTAACTGTTTACTCCTTTCGAAATTGCTGTTTGAGAGTTTCGTAATTAGAAATAACAGTGTCAATAATGAACAATAATGACCACAACTTCAAGTGCCACTCTTTTTACCTAACAGCAAGCAAAAAAGTCTCTTTCAACGAATTGAGGAAGAAATGGCTGAACCCAGCACAGTAACAGAGCGCTGCGAAAATACAAATCCTATTGTTTGCGCTATATTTCTCCATACTTTGAAGTTACACAGAATAAATTTTGGCTGAGATTTCGATAATATTCTATTTAATTTAATTAATTAACAAATCTGTTAAGTCTGTTATCGTATTGGATAATTTTACAAGGAGTTATTTTAGGTTACCTTTGGATCAGAATAAGTCTAGTCAGTCATAAGTTTAATTTTTTTTCGACGGATTTAATCATTGATTATCTATGTCTCTCTGCCAAGTTGTAGAACGAAGAGACTTCTTCCGAAAACACATTTATCAATAGTATCAGTCATGGAGACTTAAAGCATGTCAACAATTTCATTGTGCCAAAATCTACAATAAATTTAATTTGGAAATTTGGAACAAAAAATTAAATTTTTGTTATAGTTGTTGTAAGGAAAAGCGAAGTTTATTAAGATTGCACAAACATAATACGTCAGAATAAAATAATCTAACTTTCAGTAGTTCCTTCGAAGCACATTGCAGCCAAGTGAAACAAGAAATGTTTTACCCTTTCCATCCTGCGAATAAGTTGCAATTCCAGTTATCATGATCATCATCATCATCATCATCACATTTCTCACGCAAGACCAGCATAACCCAATTCCAGATTTCGCTTTTTTGAATTTGACCGTATTTCAACTGATTAAGTTCTCTTAAACCTATAGCAAAATACAACCATGCCTTCAGGTTTCATTTATTACTTCAGCTTTATTGTTGAACAGTGACAACACCGCTTCTGATAGCTCAGCGGAAGTTTTTCCGAGCAAACGGAGATATTTCATTTTCTATCTATTTAACAGCTATTTCAGAAAATCTTGGTCCAGTTTCTTCACTGATGCTTGACGTAGAATGCAGTAATGTTAATTTGTAGTTTAGGATTTAACGTTCATATAAGTTTTCTGTACTTTAAACTTCCCCATTGTCCTAACAAAGAAAAGAGGAAAAATGTTCTCATATTGATCTGAATTTCAGCAAAATTATCGAAAAAAGTATCGATTGATTGATTGGATGAGATCAATTGCTAGTCTGTGCTAACAACTGATCACAAGTTTTTCATTAGTATTCCTGGAATTGATAGAAATTAAAATCTTTTTCGAAAAATTTGAGTGTCAGAATTTCCAATACTTGAGACTTACAGTCAAAATAATTACTCACAGAATCAATCTCATTTGCATATATCTTCACTTGTAAAAGAGCTGAAACAACAAAAGAATGCTGCGTAATTGTAATTCTAATACCTTTTTCCCTTTTTTCCCCTATCCCTTCATTACTCAACATTAGAGAAGTCAAACAAACTAGTTTAGTCCACTTTGAACTCAAAGAATTACTTACAGTTAATCCATTTGTTCCATACATTTTCTCCTATCTAACACACTTAATCTTTGATGCCTGTGCTCTCTTCATACTTCTCAGCCCTCCTTTCTAGTCTGACCAGTCCACTCTTTAGATTCATACAAGTCATACTTACCTTTTGTTTTTTTCAAATTCGTTCTACTATGTCGTAATGCACAACTCTCCCTGCTGAACTTCTCAATCGATAGAGTGCTGAGCAAAGGAAAAAAACTGATTTGAATCAAAGAAGACGGAACGGAAATGGCATCTCTCTCTCTCTCTCTCTCTTCTATCACTCTGGCGATGTTTCTATTAAATGTATACGTAAACAGTTCATTCTTGACGTGGCTTTTGACGGATTTTGAAGTAGTGACGGACATTAGAGCATATTTTTGATTACTTCAATTCATTCGCAGTTCATTTATATTAACAACACTGCTTACCACTCATAATAGCAAACAAACCTGGCTGAAAGGGCTTAGTGAAACATATTACTAAATGTTGCTAGATATTTTGATAACTTTTCTATTATCCGGTATGTTCCAATTAATTGAACATTTATACTTCAATCTGAGTATCAAATACACGATCTATGCTTCATTGTTGCAAATTCGTCGTACAAATTCATTTGATGCTCTTAAAACTTATCAGTCTCTTAAACCTAATTAATCGTTGTAGCACAGAAGTTATGAGTTACTAAATGGTTGATGATATAAAGAGTTCAGACAAACTAACCTTGTCTTTAAAATAAGAATTTCGACCAATGACAACATTGATATCACTGATTTGTGAATTGAGCAACATTCATATTCGAATTTTAAAAAGAACTTTGGTACCACAAAGAATTTCAAGTTCAAGTTACATGTATCAGTTACACGAGACCGTAAGGACGATTCAATCGGTACAACCATATCGGCCGGAAATTAGACCTAATAGAGCATCAGTATCACAGACAAATACCATCACAAAAAAAAAAAAACATTTTGTGTTCAATCCCCTTCAAATATTATTCTACTGCATCCTCCGTATTTTCCCGCTAATTTTGACCTTATTGATTGTGGCAGCATCAAAGTAACAATTTATGAAGCATTGCATCACTTTTAAACTGTAATAATTAGTGTCATTAACAAATGTTGAGGAATCTTCATTTAATCAAGCCAAAATATAAAACTTTTTTCGTACAGAAGCATTGACCGATTTCAAATGTAGCCAAGCATATCAAAATAGCGGTAGGTAAATTTAAAAGCAAATTAAACTAAATGATAATTTGTAAACAATCCAAAAATCCTATCTCTTGAAAATTTCACCGTCTTCGTTTTTAAAAAGATAGAACCAACGGATAGTCTATAAATGCTGCTTGGAAGCAATCAGTTATTCAATTTTATTTACAAAAAAGACAGTTGCTGATGTAAACTTGGCTTCAACTTTTGGATAAACAAATGAAATTTCGGTAAGTTTGTATATATGAACAACAGCAGTGACAGCAGCTTGGAAGGAAGTAACTGGTCAGAAGTATATTTCACAGTAACAGTGCCGTCCACTTCTCTTCCATGCCACATTCGAAAGATTTCTTCAACACGATTTTACGACCAAAAGACATCAGAGCATAAGCACTATTTGCTGGAAATGCAAATTTGCTAGTGATACTGTATTTATTTGGAATTTATGGTTTAGAAATTTTATTTTCAGTATCTGATTTCAGACTGTTACGTTTTCCATTGATTTTCTCCGACAATGGACAGTCGAATTCTGATAGATTAATTGAATAAAGTCATTTGAAAGGCAGGCTTAAAAGAAATGCTACGAGAATGAATTGGAATTATGACTCAAATTTTTTTTTTCTTGAATTTAAACCACTTTATTGCAATTCAGGAGGCAGTTGAAATTGGAAGCTAAGATAACAGATTCCTTATTATTTAGGTTTGCTCTTAAATGGTTCATGTCTGTTTTCTTCATTTCATTTTATTTTCGACATTATACATTAAAAGTTTGGGAATAGGAGGAATCAGTGTACAAATTCTTCCCCATTCTCACAATTCTTTTTACATTATAAACTTTTAAAAAGGGTTTTTTTTTTTTTTTTAAATTTGGCAAAGGATGGTTCTACCATAAGAACATTTGACAGAATTCTACATGCAAGGTATTTTGGTCCTAATTATGGATTTATTTATTTCATTTTGTTTATTTCCTTGTAGGCCTGTTATCGCTTTGTAGATCTAATATATTATTTTGACAGATATTTGAAAGTTAAATAACAGATTCAATCGTTTCTGATCCGAAACAAGTAGTTATTTTTTAGAACGGAAACAACTTTCTTTGCTGCAATGCTGTTGTTATTTCAGTTCTTTTTTGCTTGTCATAGATAGGACTGATTGATCAAGTTTTGTGTGGCTTAAGATGACGGCGGAGGGTTAGAAAGTGGCAACAAATGACGACTACAGAATTTCAATGCTACTCTTTCCTATTCCCATAAAGTAATATATCTTTAAGAAGATATTTAAAATTGACCTTGCTTTGCCTGACCCATAGTTATTACAGTTGATGAGTGTAACATTTTATCAAATATTCATTGGTTTTACTCTATCATTGCATTTACAGTTAATCTTTAATTAATTGACGAAGTTATGTAGATGGTTGTTTTCATGCTAGCATTTTTCAAAATGATTAGTCAAATTTATTGAAATGTTTGGAATTGTACAAATGCTTCTTCCTATTTCATTGTGTCAATGGGAAAGGTATGTAACTGGGCATCTTCTTTTAATGGCTTGGGTAAAGCAATTAGATAACTTCTGCAATTCTTTTTTTTGATTGGCTAATAATACAGGGATAGTGAATGAATAGCGGCACCATTCTACTATTTTGTTTGTTCTTTTGTCCCTAGAGCCTTTTCCGTTAATCTCATTACTTGTATGATAAATGTATGTTCAGTTCATTTTTGGAAAGATTTATGGGTAGATCCTTCAAAAAGCTTTCTCTAGAATTTAAAGAATTTTCTTGTTTTTCTTGCTGGAGAATATTGTGGACTTGTTGTTTTTCATTTAATTGTTAATTTATATATATATAGAAGGTTATTTAGTCCACAATATATTGTTATTCCCTTCTTGGAAGATAAATTAGTTAGTGAAATATTTAAACTTAGATAAAAAAAATGCCTATTTTCTCTCAATTTTATTACCACTGATTGTCTTCTTTGATTTGTCTTTTTTTCCTGAATACCGAAAAGGTGCAAATTCGGTATCTTCAAACATTTTTTACTCTGAATTAAAGAAGTGCTTCCCTCAGTCACTTGCTATTCAGATATTATCTTCTAAGGCTTTTCAGACTTGTTCAAAAAAATGTTTAATGAAGACAAATCACGAGTAATAGCAGCTCAACTGCTTCTTTATTTCTTTTTCGAATTGATTGAACCAGTTCCATCGTTCTCTCTTTTAAACTAATTTCTGACAAGTCTTTCTTTCATTAATTACTGTCATGTCCTGAAGAAAAAAGATTATTTGCTAGTCTATTTAACATTAATAATTGTTTTACACATCTAAATTCATCCTTCTCTAATGGACAATTTCTAAATAACATTAAAATTAGATCAAACTCACTGAACTGTACAAACTGTCATTTGACTCCAAAAAGTACTGCTAAAGAAAGTACCATAATTGTGCTATATGACCATCAAAGAATGGACGGTTCTGAGAAATTGGGAAGGAAAGAAAGCATCGCCTTTGAACTCCTCATTGAAGCACTATCCCTTGGATCAGTTTCCTTTCGTTTTAATGAATTGTATTTCTCCTTCTCTTCATTGCTCAACGTCACCGATACTGATGAAGATGAGGAGTTGATGTCTTTCATTTTTCATCCTTCTTTAATTTGCATCAGAAGTCATTTCTTGCCTAAGCCTAAATGTGACTGTGAGGACCTAAGCATAAGTCTAATTGTAACCGTGAAGATCTAAATCTAAGCATAAATGTGAATATGAAGCCTAGCCTAAGTGTATCGTAAAAACCTAAGTACATGTCTAAGTGAAACCATGAAGATTTAAGCCTAAGTGTAACCTGTGGACCTAAGTGTAAATATGTATAGGTAGTTCTACTGAACTGAACAGGTAGATGATATCATTCACCTGTTCATTTACGTGTCATAGTATTTCCTCATTTATTAGAATGACATATAGGCAGAGGTTCGATGAGGACTCAAATACAGGTGGAATTCGGTGAATATGTGATACCTACCAAGAATATTGGATTCGTGTTGGTGCACTTACTACCAGTCTGATGAAGTGACACAGGGTAGTAAGAGATGTTAGGAGTCTACAAGAGCTGAACAGCTAGAAAGAGTATAGGTTCGGTGATTAAGGTTAAAACTTTTTTGGATGTTTAGCTCAGCCCATCCTGATAGCCCGATTAGATGTGCTCATTAACCCGGAAGATTACAGGTTTAGTCTTTCCTCAAACCCACTGCCGACCGGTATCTCTCTTGCACCGCTTCTTCACAGATCCATCTCGATCACGATCACGCTGATGACTAAATCCTTAGCAGTACTTCTTCAGCACAATAATGTTTGCTTTGTTTTACGCACTACTTTCACGCTTCTATTAACGTCAAACTCTAACTGATGTAATCCTTCCCCACGTTTGTCATCGTGTCTCCCCACAAAGAGGTAAAAGAGCAGAGAGAAGGAGAGAAGCAAAACAGGTAAGTGCCTTACCTATGAGATGATGATGTGTCAGCCTTTTAAGTGTGTAGGAAGACATCTCTTCAAGCATCTGCAGGGGAGAGGAAGTGAGAGAGTACGGGACAGAAGGGCAGGGCAAGTTAGTGAGTGCGTGATTACTGAGTGTTCATGTGCCCTTTCTCGTGCATTCCTCTCTGCGTCCCTTACTCTCTCTCTCTCTCCTTCTCTCCTCTTCCTTTATCTATCCGTACACATACCCTACCACAGGCCCGCATTATGAAGAATCGATAGAGAGCGACTACCAGGTTTTTTTGAGTTTGTTTATTACTGCTCCGGGAGTCGTCATCTGTCGGGAAAGGTTTGTCCTTCATGGTAGGACGAGCTGTAAAGATTCTGAGGCTTCCGAGAGCTCCTTCTATTGCTTCTACTTCAATTTATTGGCCTTTACTGTTTTTAAGTATGTTTTCGCTCGATGAATTTAAATTGCTGACTATCAGTAAGTTGAAATAGGTTAAATTTAGTGGAAATTTATACATGAACAGCGATCAGTGTGACGTGCGGAAAACTATTGATCCAAATAATCAAACTCAGAAGACAATGGCTGAAGAAGATTCGGAGCCAAGGATAGCACGGATTCGCGAAAATCTTGTTGGTGAGCTTGTCTTACAGTATTATCAGAGGTATATTCATAATCTAGAATCCGGACTGTCTGCTCAGACTCCATTTCGTAGTTTTTTTCCAGAAACTACTGTACCTGAATTCAAGGAAGGAAGTAAGTCGTTAACGTAAGTGTTATCTGGTTTATTTGAAATAAATTGAGAATAAAAACGAGGGGTGAATGCAATGTCGGAATTATGATTATGACAACTTTTAATGTTGACATTCAATAGTCTCATAATTTCTCTTTCAGCTGATCATTAGGCCATTTTCATTCTAGTATATTGAACTTATAAGCTTGAGCCGAGATTGGAAACTAATTAGCTACTCTTAGGAAACTTTCAAGTTATAAGCAGTAAATTAGGGCTTAGATAATACTGATTTTTTCTCGAGACTGACAAAAATCGTTTCCAAGAACGTTTTTATCAATGGAGTAGGAGGTAATACTCATAGAGATACGTTAAGTCGTATTTTTCTTTTCGCTTACTGCTCCCTTCCTCATTGTCCATTCATTCCAATCAAATATATTCTGCAGTTAATAAATTTTGAGTGTTAGTGAGCGCATAAATAATCTGTAAGTATTGTCTA